GCCTCTGCCGGGCGTCCTGCAAGGGCCTCGCTGCCGGCGGGAGCTCGACTAGCCCGGGCAAGTCCCCAGGAGCAGCCGTCGCTGCCCTGAGCAGATGCAGCCTCGGAACCGCGTGACGAGGCCGGGGCCGCCTCGGGCCTCGCTCCACCCGTGCGCTGGGAGCGCCGGCTGCATGCGGAGAGGCCGTGGAGCTAACATGCCCTCCCTTCGAACGCGGGGACTGCCGCCAGTGGGCTGGATTTTGTACTTAATACAGGAGCCTTGTCTGTCAAAGCTCCTGTGGCATTTTCTGTAACACAATTAAAATGCAGAGTGCTTTATTAATACTTATTTACATTTGTATATCCTTTGTAGGAAAAAATCCTTTTGGGAGACAGCAATTCCAAGGGCTGGCAGATAATTAAGGGCTGTGGAGTTGATTATAACCTAGGTAGAGATGTTAACCTCATGGCCTTATTAGTTGCATTTGACAGGATTTTGACATTTACTTTATCTAAGGCATAAGAAATCTCCAGTGATTTTGTCCTCAGGTTTTACAACTTCGGCACTTGAATATACTTTCACTTCTTTATCTTTGAATTAAGTATTTCTTCTTAATATTGTTCATCTGATGACTTTATCCACAAAGATTTGAACTTTGATCTGCCACAAGCCAATTAACTTGAAATAAAGGGATGAAGTAAGCTCTCCCAAAATCTCATCTGCGCTTCTGGACATCCCTTGCTGGTGCGAAGCCCCACGTCGCTGCTCAGACACCCGAGCTGCTGCCGTGCGGCTCGAGCTGCCGCCGTGCACCAGGCAGCCCTCAGAGCGCGAGAACGTAGAGAAATAGAAACAAAAAAAAGCCCCATGGGCTTGTCCTGCTAACAAAGCTTACTTTATTTAAAAAAAGAAAAGCCATGGGTCATTTATATCGTTGTGTGTGTTGAATTCATCATGGGGTGTTTATCAAAAAGCAAACCTGACTCATTTTGGTATGTTTGTTCTCTATTCCTCAGGCTGCCTTCCAGGAGAATGTCGGGCGACAGGTAGGGTGACTTTCCCGAAGCTTCGTTCATTAGTGGCTTGTAGATGGCTGTAAACGGGCAACACCTGCAATCATTATTAGACATTTGGGCTTCAGAGGAATGGAATAGAAGGATCTACAAATCTTGAAGACCTCTGTCACAGCATATTTATTTTCATTATCTGGAACAGGTTCTTGTGATATAGTTTTCAGAGATGTGAGTTTTACTTCAGCGTACCAGATCAGAAGGATGATGAGCTTTCTAGTAAGGTTAAGTGATCCCAAAAAACAAAATCAGCATGCATAGCAGCCATCAATGCAACTGCAGTGCTCTTAAAACTAGAATGGTGCCATTTTGCTTATTATTTTGCTTTTTTGACTTTCTTGTTTTTAATGGAGGGAGTCTGAACAGCATAAACATGCTGCACAATCCTTGTTGTGGTTTGGGCACATAACAATGAACAAGGCTCAAGAACTGTCAGCCTATTTGGGCTTTGTCTGCTGTATCACAATCCTACTAGCTAATTTTTTTTGAGAAATCTTGTAATTTTGGAGGTGCCAGAGATGTTTGGGAAGTAGTGTGCTTTGCTCCTATGTAACTTAAGAACATGTAAGTAGCTAAAAGTTTTGTATTTCCTATAAAAATTTGACTTGCAACTTTGTAGAATAGCATAGGGTCATGACTCTGATTTCCAAGGACTTTTTTCCTCATTTCTCATCTAAGTTGGTGAAGCTGAGTGTGCAACCTGAAACAAAAATGTGGGAAGAATGGTTCAGTTGTGAACTTTAGTGACAAAGCAGTAGCGGAGTTAACATAATGGCAGAGACACAAACTTTGTGTCTTTGATAAGCAGTTCTTTGGGGGGTGGGGAGGGGTCTTTGTTAAAGCTTAATAAAGCTTCAAGGCTAAAGATGCTGTGTGTGGCCTTTCCTGATGTAATTCCTGAAATTCTCTTGAGTTATGGGCTGGGATTTTATTCCCTTAGAGCTACAGCATAATGTATCCTAAACAAGTGTGTGTATATCTAGATGAAATTAGGTTAATAGCTGAGAAAGGATGCAAGAAGATTAGGAGGAAGAGGGTAGGTGTTTATGGTGACCTGACCTACCTAGGGCTGTGATAGGAGAAGCCGAGTGAATTCCTCGCTCAGCCCGTGGTTAGAGCTCTGGAGGGGTTAGTCATCCCCGAGCGACTCGCGCTGGGGCTGTGGTCAAGGCTCTGAACGAAGCATCCTCCGTGCTGCCGCCCGAGCTCCGGGCGAGACGGGGCTCCTGGCCGCTCCAGCTCTGCATGGGCTTCGTCTAGCAGAAGTTACGGAGCAGTTGGAGCAGTTCGCTGCTAGGTTAGCTCACAACTGCAAATTTCCTTAGTGATTCTGTTTCAACACGATTCAAATCTATTAATGCTGACAGAACACATGATTTTGGCATGAATGTTGTCATGGTAAGGAGGAGTTTGCAGTGAAATACCAAGTAATTGTGTCACAAAAAGCCCAATCTATCTTGGACTTGATTCCTGTAGAAATATGGGGTTACTTGAGGAGCTTCCTTACCGCCTAGGAAAAATGGTTACTTACTCAGCAGATCCACCCTCTGCAGCTCTTTGCCTGGATATAATGTGTTGCAATAGACACCCTTTCTCTGAATTGGAAGGAGCTAAAACAGACTTTCAACTGCTGATGTTAAGTAGGTGGAGAAAGAAGTTGAACTCGCTCCCCGGTGCGGGGCTGCTTCGTCCTGCTGCACGCCGTGCCCTCACCCTGCGAGCCTGTGCTTACGGCCACAGCAAAATAAACTATTGCAGCTCCATGCAAACAAAAACCTTGTAGGAAAGTGCATGGGATTTTTCTTTTAGCATAAATCATGACAAATGCACTTAAGACAAAATTTTATAGAATAAGTTTTAGGTGCTTTGCAAGAGTAGACTTAAAGTTTTGTGTCCCCCATCGGCCATGAACTCTGTACTCCTGAAATTCGTTCCAGGGATTTTCCTGTCTCAAGGACATGCACTGTGGCAGTGACATGTGGGGAGACAGCATCAGGCTGGCACACTTACAGCCATGTGATGTATAGCAAGGGCCGTCCAGGAGCTGGAATTCAAAACGTAGCTGTGATTTTCCTTGTATACCACAAACATTGTATTTTCTATTTCATTATATATCTTGCTGGTTGGCCGCAGATCATGCTTACTTACATTTTGCTCATGCATGTCTTCCTCCCTAATCAGGGGAGTGTGTTCTTTCCACATTTGAGCTATTTTAGAGTTTGTAAAGTAATGCTAGGATAAGCCAGATATATTCTACCTTTCTTTTTGGTTCAGTCAGATTAAAAGCCTTGTTTCCTTGGCCTTCTGGAATTATGCTTCCCTGAATAAGAGTTCCATGGTAGCTGCAGCTTCCCACTTCTTGCAATATCCACTTCTCTTCAAGTATTCAGGTGTAGATCTGCTATTTTTGCACTGCTTTATCCTAATGTGGCATTGGTGGCTGAACTGTAAGCAAATAAATTGTATTATAGTCAGAACCCCTACTTCCACATAGACTTATTGTTTAAATATCCTCTGATTTTTTTTTACTTTTGTAAATGGATAGTGTCTTTCAGTTGTTTGAAGTTTTCTATTTTACTTAATTTTAACTTGAGGCTATTCTAACTCCGTTCCAAAACAGCCATGCTGTGTAATAGTACATTAAATTAGTATTAATCGGTCAACATTCTGAATAAATGGCATTATATATATATATATTATATATACATATATATATATGTAAAATATATTTTTAAAAGATGACTACTGGCAATTTTTAGCTGGTGATTATTTAGAATGATGATTAATCTTCTAAAGAGACTTTGGAGTAGCAATGTCAGAAGTGATAAGTCTGTAGTATTCAAAATGTCAAGCTTTGTTGGGAACTAAAGTTCTTAAGAAAATAAACAATTCCTTAGTTCATTAATAAGTAAATCATAAATTATATGCATAAGTAGAAACAGATAGAAGTAATTTAAGTCCCAGCTTTGTGCATGTGTTGCATTTCTTGGTGCCTCATCTCTTTTTATACTTCATAAGACTTGCAGTAAATGCTTGTTCCTACACATGGTCTGAAAACGCATTTACATTTATCTGAAATTTCCGAAATATTTTTTCTGTGCATATAAAACCATACATTCTTCAATGTATAATTGGGTATGGCTTGAGCATAGTAAAGTAACTGTTGTGCAGTTTATTATCTGCTGCTGTTTATCTGAGTCCTTACCAGTGACTCCTAAGTGGAGTAGGGGATTTTGCTGTTTATATATCCTATATTCTATGTATTTCTAATATAGTGTTTTACTATAAAATAGAACTGCAAATGTATATTTTTTTCTGAGTTTGTCCAGTGTAGATGATTATCTTCAGTGATGTTGCTTATTCAGAAAATATTTAATGTCTGTTTTATAATATTTCCTTCTCGGTTTTTTTCCTCCCGTTCTTCCCTACCGTGTCTGTAGGGCACTTTTCCACATGGCATAGACATCCTCACTGCAGCCGATTATTTTGCTGTGGGTAACAGAGCTAACTGCTACCTTTCCATAAGGTGAGTGTCCAAATAGGTGTTTTCGTAAACATGAAGGTCCTCTTTTACATGCAAAGAAATCTGATTTCTTTTTCCACTTCACTGAAAACATGCTAACAAAAAATGTAGGTTTTTTGTTGTTGGTTTTGAGTAGGGGAAAGGTTGATTTCTGCATCAAACTGCTGGTTCAGCCGTGGTGCAGTGTGACCGTGGGGTTCCTCAGCCATGTGCTCGTGGCCTGGTGCTTCACGGATGTAGTGAAAGTGCAGGGAGCGACCAGGAGGCAGCACTCGTGGGTGGCGCGGAGCTGTCCGGGCTTGTCAAGATTAGCCAAGAGCCGGGGATACTGAAGGGATGCAGCAAAAAGGCAAGGGTGGTAGGATGGATTGACTCTTAAGGGGGTAGAATATAAACGAATGCCTATTTAAAGAAATACTTTGCTCTCATTGAATATGCTGTTGAATTTGTTGCCTGAGCATAGACTCTCAACATGAATGCTCATATTTTTCATAGATAGCTCAGTGAAAATCTGACCATGATATGGAGCAAGAGGTTTGAGGGAAAAACAGAAACCCCAAAGAACCAGAATAAAAACTGTGGAGTGTTGAGAGAATTTAATGGGCAATAGCGAGAGCAGTGATGTGTTCTGGACTGACCCTGCGTCCTGTGCTGGCAGCCACCAGAACGCGGGGTGCTCGGGGCGAGCCGGGCGCGCCGGGGCTGCACGAGCCCCAGGATGCCCTTCCTCCTGCGCTGAGGAAGACGGCCAGGGGCTGGGCACACCGAGGGCACCCCAGGAGCCTGGCCTCTCTCTGTAGTCAGCGCAGAGACAGGCACCTCCAGGAGCTGAGTCAGCCCCGTCTAAGATGGGTGAGATAAACTGCCCTCTGGAGTTGGGTGTTGCTTTTGGAAACCGAAAGGTTACAAAGGTTCAAAACGATCAGACTCCAGGGAGAGCAGAAATAGCAACCAGGGTCAGTCTGGGCTCCAACAGCAGCCTCCTAACTTCCCAGTTTTCTGAGAGGGTTTTCACTGCAGTCCTCTCTCCCCTCCTTTTTCTTTTCTTTCTTTCTTTTTTTTTTATTAGTCCTCCATGTGAACCCTTTGGGGTGTAATCCCGTCCTCCCTCCCCGTTCCAGCCCCGCTCTCCCTCCGCGCGGGCTGGCAGGATGGCTGGGAGCCCCGCTCCGCTGCAGCAGGGCCGCTGCGAAGGACGGCGGGAAACTCTGGCCATTTGTACCAGTGGAAAATAGAAAATGCTCAGAATTGACACGAATGGCTTTTTGCTGTTTTTAATTTTGGTTTGGAGGTTAAGTGTGTTCTCATTCTTGAGAGCTGAAGTTTTATTTTTATCAAATTCTTGCTTTCACCTATTACTCCTGTTGTTCCAATTTCCAGAGTTCATGTAGGAATATTAGTTAAAGAAGAAAATAATTAATTTGTTAAATCTTTATCAAGAGTTTATCCAGTTAATAGTGTGATTCCTTGAAACCATATTCAGTGTTATTTGTCAGACTCTTCTTTGTGATGTATTTGTCATTCACTACATTGCTTTTAAAAATCTTCCTCTTTGCTCTCTGGCACAGTGTAATTATTTGGGTCAATACTTAATTATTTCCTTATTTTTGTCTGAGCAGCATCAAAGCAGAAGAGCATAAGCTTGTATTTGGCTGCACAGAGAGCTTTCACCATTGGGATGTGGTAGGAGGAATGGGCCGTTTGGATAGGAATGCCTTGAGGCACTATAATTGCTGATGTAGTTTGGAAAAAAAAAAAAAAACCTGCGTGAGCTTCCTAGTCCGGATGTGACTACCCAAAGAGCAGGGGCTTTGTGTCCCCTACCCCATCCCAGTCAAACAGTGCAGGACACTTGGTGGCTAGCATGAGGACACTGCAGGAGTGGAGGCTATGGAGGTACCAATGTCTGCGCTGGTAGCTCCCCCTGAGTGCTAGAGGCTCAATATTTATGTATCAATGTGCCTTTAAAGAGGCAGATTTTACACACACACACACACACACACACACACACACACACACACACACATTCCCTTCCTCTCTCCACCCAAGAAATCATCTGGATATT